ATATTTTAGTAAGCAATGTTTTAATAAAATTATGACTTAATGCTTTTTCACTGATTTAGGTCCCCTTTAGAACAACACCAACAAAAACAATTCTGAAGAATGATGGTGTTAGTGGCTTTTTAATGTTTATATTTCATTTGTGCTGTTTGTTTGTGGAAGAACCATAGAAAATACTTAATAAAAATACTTCAGTTATTTGTTCTTTTCCTCCTTTAGAAAGGGAAGAAATGTTAAATTAGCTTACTGTATTACAGGCACCACAGGTCAGGACAATGGCAGTGAATAAAGTACAACAGAAATTCTACAGTATACCTCACACCTCTCTCAGAGTAGAGGACCCCACCTTCCACTTTGTCTTCTTCCAAGTACAAATAGTTTTTTTTATATTGACCCACAACAAGGCAATGCATGAATATTGCTTTAAGTGAATAGCTGTGTGTGAATGGTGGCTGGAGGCTCTTGTTGCACAACTGTTCTGTTACTTGTAAACAGTTCTGTGTCTATAGATGAAATTGTCAATTAAATGGCTACAATTTAAATGAATACTCAGTGAGATATTTTGACAAGAAGGGTTGATAATATGTAGTCCAGTCACATTTATCTACTGTACTGTACACTCAAATTAATAGTGGAACGTATGTATCTCTCCTTTGTATATACTTGAATCTGGTAGTTGCTATAATGGAATGCAAAGGAAAAAATAAAGAACGACAAAACGCTAAAAAAGCAAGGAATTGGACATCTTCATTTTTGTGGACCTGTAAGCCGAGAAAACAATATTTCATCCTTCAGGAACGAAACAGATTGAGCCAGGACATTAAACTTAGAGGAATGTGCATTGCCTCTCTCAATAAACCGTACAAGTCAGGTGAGCCTCAGAGAGAATTCCAAACACTGTTACTGCTATCATCAGTCGTATTTTACTTTAAACTTGTCCCTATTTTCTTATCACAACTTCACACAATCTCATATTGCTAGTTGTATTTCTATTTGGGCTCTTCTCTTCTGCAGTCAAGGTTTTCACTGTAACAGCGTTCACTCACACACTTCAGTTTGGTTCAGCCCAGCTGCGTTTGGTTCACTGCAGGCAGCCAGTGGGACTTCTTCTATCTACAACAACCACACAGGGTGTGATCACACTTGTAAAAGTGATTGTGTGTGTATGTCTGCGGATTCCAGACAAACCCACAGCACTGCTGGCCACCTGGTCTACCTGTTTACAGATACAGTATGTCTGACAGGTTTGTTTCTTTCTCTGCTCCATGCAGACAGCGGCCTGTGTTAGGAAATGATGGCTGGGCACCATCGCACCACTGTCAAGTTGTCCGCACTCACTGACCGCTTCTTGGCAAGTTTCCTCAAGTCCTTGTATTTGTCATCACACAATCGTGAGATGGCCTGAAAGTCAAAAGATAACAGAAACCAAACAGAGATGACAAGGCCTACCCTTTGACTTAATTAAAGTAACTGGTTGAGAGCTTTGACAGTGTGTGTGTGTGTGATATGAGAGACTGCACAGATATGGACCAAACAGGAAATATTTCAAAAGTGTCACAATGAGTCAAAGATTCTACTCATATACATTGTAAATTGTTAAGTTTAATATATTTCAACTTTAATTGAATATTGAGCTTCCACATGAATGAATGCTCAATGGCACATTTAATTGTGTATTATTAAGTGCGTGTGTACTATTCACCTCTAGTTTCTGGGCCTTGTCCCTGTTGAGGGGCTCCAGGGGGAAGCTGAGATTGTTGGCTTCAGCCAGGGAGCGCAGATCGAAGTAATACTTGGCATAGACGCTGGACGGCACATTAATGTTGAACTGTAGCAGCTCCAGGAACTGACGCTCCAACTCATTCCTTTAGTAGAGAGAGAGGCTGTGTGAAAAATGAGCTTTTTGACAACCTTGAAAAACCTTGGGAATGAATTGAGATTTAAATAAGAGAGACTGAAAGGAAGACAAAGAGGTTCCAGTGCTCATGAGACCATCCCAGCAAATCCATCACCTCACACAGACTATGGGTGTTATTTTCATTTATATGCTACCAATGCAAATGCACTGAGTAAAATACCTAGTATGCCCACTAAACATGATCCTTTCCTTATAATGAGAGGGAATGATATCTGCACAGTGGAACCCTGAGCACTGTGAGAAAAGAAAGAATATTAATCCCACATCTTGCAAATGCTATTGTCATGCACTGCCATGAGCTCAGCAGCCCTGTGACCCTTTATGCAGCATGGCGACAGCCCCTTTCATCTGTATCTCTTCAATTGTGACCAATTCGTTTTGCATTGTAACCTGCAACAGAAGCACTAACCATCTCCTCTTTCTAGCTCTTGTTCCTGTTCCCTGCACATTTACAGGCATGCAGCAACAGACAAGCTAAATTTAGACTCTGCTGTAACAACACTCTGCCTAATAATGACTCTTCTTTTTTATCTTGCTGTGGCACTCATTCAGCTTTTCTCATCTATTTCCTTCTGTCTCTCTGCTCCTTATAATTTCTCCCAAACTTACCCTGTAACAGGTAATTTTCCAGAGCAAGGATTAAAAAAAAAAATACAACAATTTATCTTCCAAGGAAATATCTGCCCAAACTGTGAATAACTGTCAGGTAAGTTGCCACATGCAGGAATTCTCTTACTGGACGGAGTCCCAAAAAGATGGATCACAGACAGTCATCTGTATGAATCTGAGACCAAGGCAAAAAATATACAAGCACTGGTGCAGAAGAGTGTGAATGCAGCAAAGACCAGAGGCTGTAGCGGTGGCAACATGTCTACAGCATCGTGTTCCTCCAACAGAATAATGCAGCCAAGATTCCTGTGGATTTGAGACGGATGGTGGGCACTCATGATCAGGATGTTTCTTCCTTGTCATAAGCACCAAGATCAAGTATTTCACACAGTATTTCAGATTACAATTTTTATTTAATTTTAATTTCATTTAAAACCCTGAAACAAAATATCCAATCAAAGAAGTCACCGTGGGTCCCCAATAAGAACCATGCATCTCTTATTATCAGCTGGTTAGGGACTAATACACTTGACATGTTAAAGCTTATTTACTTTTATTTATAGGGAAACCTGCAAACATAACTGATATAAGGTATGAGCTGCATAAATCGTTCTCTAACAAAGGGTAGACTATATCTTCTATGTCATGATTTTATTATATTCTTTGGCTAAAATCTTTAGGATCCAGTCTGAGGGCCACAATAAAAGACAAGGGGGCAGGGGTCGACTCAAGCATGTCCAGATCACCATACACCTGTTGATTCCAATCTGACCTCACAAACACAGGGTATTCTTAACACAGAAAGACCCTGAGTGTTAGTCACAGACTGGGCTCATGACAGGTGGAAGAGTTAAGAGGAATGGCTGAGACTCAATCCTAAGAAAGGTCAACAAGAGGTCAATTCATTTTATGTTATCAATATTCCTGTATAACAAAACACATTTCATGCCACCTCTATAAAACAGAAACATAATTATTTAGGGCAAATGATTAGACTCCAAAGGCCATGCTACTTGCATTCACTTTTGGCTACTTTCATATAAATAAAATGCATTTTTGACTATTTTTCCTGCAACTCACATGTCCTCCACAGTGATATCCTTAAGAATTTGGCAGTAGTCAACGTTCCAGACTGCCTGGTCATCCCAAACCTTGGATGCCAGGAGGATGGCTCCTAACACAATACGCTTCCAGTTGGCAGGACAAATGTCGATCTCAGCATAGGTCAGAAGCCTCTCCAGATACACCTTAGAAAACGAGATGTGTCACAAATAAATATGTCAGGAAAAAATGTCCACTTCTTTAAACATAAAAATATTAAATATCTGTGCATTCTTTTTTCCTTCCCATAAACTGACCATAAAACAAGATCTTGCAATGACATGGGAGATGGTAAAACTAGATCATGAATTCAGGTTAATACATTATACACAAATCAATAAACTATAAACCAGCATGTGTTTTCCTTCACCAATGTGGGTGACGAGCTGTGCTTGCTAGTCTCAAAACCTCTGTTGTTTTTGTTTATGTACATTTCCAATTTCCAAGATAAGCAAGTAAATGACACAATAAAATCATGTAATTAGCATATTCTCAATTTCATACTGTGTTTGATTACATATTAGGGTACTTGTACAGAAGCTGATCCTTCTGATCCACTGATTCAGCATTATGTTAGAGAAGAAACCATCAGCTTGGACAGAAAGAGAGGAATAAAAAAGGCAGAGGGGGAAAATATTCTTTCATCTTATTTTGCAGCCTGGTTTGATTTGTCCACCAGCACAGCAGGTGTCTATTTGGACAAATGTTAAGTGGCATTATATAGTGTTTTTCTATGCACCGAAGCACAACCTACTATTTCCCATTCTCATTCACCCACACATTCACACATTGGTGATAACACCAAGAGTTAAATAAATACTTAAGTAGGTTTATTTATTGACTGGTGTTAAAGGAGAAAAACAAGGAGTTGCTGGGGATCACACTGCGGCCCTGCGGTTGGGCGACAACCCACTCTACCTCCTGAGCTACGGCTGCCCCCAAGTTGTACTGGGCTTGGCTTTGTGCCTGTAGGCAATCCTGATGTACATATCTCTGCTGTGGCCTGAGCCTGCCAACAGACACCACATATACAAACAGTGAAGAAAGCTTATATATGAGAACCACTCACATGATAAGTGCTATGAATGCAACAACACAGAGAGAAAACTATACAAAGACAAGCAAAACAAAAACCCAGAGTCAGTGTGTTTGGCAAACAGTAGACCTGTGCAACCAGATTAAATGCAAATTATTTCATGTTGTGATTTCTGGGTAAATGTGGCAGGTAAGGTACTAGACAGATCAACTGGTCTCTATGTAGCTAAAAGATATAAGCACTGGAAAGAAAAACACCCAGCTTCCATCTGACATTCATCCATTAGCTAATCCCACTTATTCTTTAGGGTCGCAGGGCACCTCAATTCCCTTATCTAAAGTTAGCTGTGTCAGATAGCCTAATCACATTAGTGCCAGCCAACAGCCCTATTCAATTACTGATGCATGCCAGACTTTAGTGTATGGGGCATGGGGAGGCTGAGCCATATGCCGTGTTGTACTACATGTGTATTTGACTGAAAACCAATTGCACATGCACAAGGCAGAGGACACAGAGACAATACACTACGTCCAGTGTTGTCTGGACAAAAAAAAACACACCCACCCATCCATATACGCAGTTCACACATTTATGCACCTGTCAGGAAGCAAAACAATCCAATAGAAGGTCTTAAAGAGACACGTGTCACCCAGAGCCACACAGTTTTCAAAGAGGTGTCATTCCAACTGATCGTGCATGACAAACTAGGAAAGCATAGTATGAGAAGCAAATATCAGTGGATCTGCATGTTTGCAGGGCTTAAAGCAAGGAAAATTTCTGTCTGAAATGTGTTTCGGAGTTACATTAAAATCATAAAGGGAAGGGGGGCATTCATGTGCAAGATTCCACCACGCTCAGGAAGAATCAGTGTGTTATCCTGATAATATAAGCCACATATTATAACAAGAATTCACTTTATTCTGCTTGCAGAATTAAATGAATTGAGAACAAAGACCATATAATGATGCAAAACATCTTGTCTGTTTCAGTCTTGGTGTCTTGCTTCTATGAAAAAGGGTGAGGGGGCCTTTTAGATGTCTGTGCCCAGAGGTCTCATTGTGTCGCAATCTGTCCATGGCTGTAGCACAATGGCTGTGCATATTGTGACCCATTTCAGAAAGATGAGAATGCCAAATCTAATCGTTTCTCAGTGTGAATCCTTACATTAACTTATACAGTAAGCCCCAAGTGGTGGAAAAATGCTATATCTACTCACCCTTTCCTCAGCCACAAACCACAGTCTGGTGGTTTTATCCAAGTCTAAGCAGAACTTTTAAAACCATAAAAAAATATCCAACATGCCTACAACTTTCAAAATTTTCAACGCTCATTCCTCATATGTAATATGTTCTGGAAACTAAAAATCAGCAGAAATAAATGAAAGATCCAACAGGGGAAGTCAATTATCCTTGTTTTCACATTTTTAATACAAATGATTAGCACTGGATACCACAGCTCATGGAGAGAACCTACTGTACAGTAAAGTTCCAATTACATGTTTGGTACAGACACACCAACACTCCATACAATTCTGAAATAAATGTGCAGAAATCAAACTCAATTTGTCACAAGTGTTGCATTACATTCCAATTTACTGCATGAAAATTAGTTAATTTTTCAACATTTTGGGGGACAATCTCATATACTGAAGAAATGGGGTCCAAAAATAAGTGGGAGAAAAGATTCAGGAAGGCGATAGAAAGAAAGTGCTGTGTGTGACAAGGGAGGGCACAAATAGATCATCAAGCAACACTCCCTTCTAGTGTCAGTACTGAAAGACACATATAGACACATACATAGACTCACCAGTGTGACAATTGCACACTCAGCAGTGAGCTGTGCAGCACTGAAAAGGGTTCGGACAAAGCGGTAGATCTGCTTCTGCTCAGGGTCGTGTTTGTCATAATCAGCAGGTAAATCAGACTTCTATAGTGGACAGAAAACAATGACAAATGAAATACTATGTAAAATATCCTCTTTGCATTTGATCTGATTGCTTACCTAAATTGAAATACAACCTAAACCTTTGCTTATAAATAAATATAAAATTTGAATGGAATACTTTTAGCATTTGGATATAGAGCATAAGGCAAAGTGGTTATGTAAATCTTTGATTGAATCCCTGCAAAATGATCCCAATCCAAATGATCCCGAGATGACAAGACAGATTTCCCCACTATTTAATTCTTGTGGGCTTATTTGCTAATCATCAGCTTGTGCAGTTTTTTTTCTGCTCATTAATCCTGACATCTTGCACATAATGGAAAGATTGCTTAAGTCGAGGCCTTACCGAGAGCGGATGCAGTTTTTCATCAAATATGTCTAACAACATTCTTCCGTCAACATCTCTGGAATGACAGAGAAGTAGAACATTATAGAGTATGATAAAAATTTTAAAAAAGCAAATGGTGTAAAACACATTTTATTCAAAATATCACTCATCCTCTAAGATCTTGCCTGTTCAATAAGACATTTATGGGCATTTATCTGTGCTTCCAACATCCGTATTAAATGGGATTCCTGCCACTTGTTGAGAATAGAAACTAGAGAGAACATTCCTGAAAGAACACTTTTATATTCTTATTCTAAACCTTTATTACTTTATTTTTTGTGAGGTTTGCTCTGTTTCAAGTCACATTACACAAACTCTTTTAACTGTACAGACTTAATGAAAATGGCTTGTTTTAATAAACACTAATAAATAAAAAATATCAAATTTTTTTTCAAAGCACCTTTCAAGACACCCAAGGTCACTAAAAAATAATATAAAACCAAAGTTTAAGTTAATAGCAGCAGTGATATATCAAAACGACACTAAAAATGTAATCAAAATAAATCCAGTCCACTGAAGTAGCACTGTTGGACATTGCCAGCATTACAAAATAAAAGCTGTCCTAAAAAGATGGGTCCCAAGAGCATATTTAAAAGTTTAATGAGTTCATGGTCTTTAGATTGTCTAGGAGCTTGTTCTAAAGCCAAGGGGCTTTAAAATGCCCTATCACCCATAGTCACTAACCTAGCATCTGGCACTGCAAGAAGAACAGCGTATGCACTGTAGATATCAAAGTGGGGTATGAGAGACTAAGACAGTCAAATATGTGGGTGCTAGTCCGTGTAAGGCTTTAAAAGTTCAAAGACGAAGCTTACATTGAAGGTGATTGGTAACTGGCAGCCAGTGCAGTTGTCTGAACAACTGTTCATGTGACCTAGAAAAAAAGATGGTGCTCGCTGCAGGATTCTGTACAACCTGAAGCCACTTAAGGAGGTTTTTCATGATGCCAAACAGAACTAAGCTGCAATAACTCAATGGATGACATTACAAGTGCATTGACCAGAGCCTGTGCACTCTCCTGGGTAAGACAAGAATGCAGCATAGCAATGTTTTCAAGGTTAAAGAATGGTGTACGGGAGATATAGTTTATAAGATCATTAAAGGTATTATCTAAAATAACACCAAGGCTCTTAACTTTAATGGAACAAGGAATAACACAGCCATCGATGTTTAGTCTAAAATCATTACATATAGCAAAAATGAACTTTGATCGTAGCATCTCAGATTTTGTGGGATTACATTTCACATAATATAGTCAACTACTGCAAAGGGTCTGGCAGAGTATTGCCAATTGGGTTTAGTGCCATGTAAAGCTGTGTATCATAAGCATAGCAATGAAACCATTGTTGTCTAAACATTTCCCCCAGTGGCATAAGATATAAACAGGAGAGGTCCAAGGACAGAACCCTTAGGCATACCCCTTTTAACACACTGAACCCTCTCGCTAAGGTAAGAGACAAGCTAGTTATATGTTTTATCACAAATACACAAATCATGTAGATGTTCCAGCAGAATCACATGCGATACCATGTCGAATGCTACACTGAGATCTAGCAGCACAAGAATAGACACCTGGCCAGAATCAGCAACACAAAGAAAGTCACTGGTTATCTTAACTAAGGCAGTTTTAGTGATATGCACAGAATGGAAACCAGCTTGGAACGGCTCATAAAGATCATTCTCTTCCAAGTGATGATGAAGTTGTGATACAACTACCTTTTCTAAGACCTTTGTCTTTAGCCATCACTTGTGGATGAGGAGGTACATGTTTATGAGATTTGAACATTAGCCTGATCAACACCTATAAAACTGGATCATCAAATGTCATGTGTATCAACAAGAAAATTGGTGAAGGCCACCAAATCATAAATAAGTCCTATGCACCATCTCTTCCTATTAGTGGTCCTTGCACTGGACCCAATGTCTTTACAACTTCAACTACATTTCTGGAAGGATGTCCAGTTCACTAAGGTTTCATATGAGTCGGCCATCATACAAAATATCACAGTATCTAAAGAGCTTGACAGTCCAACATAAGCCCCAAAATGGGCAACTGTTCTGTACCATTGTTTGCTAACCTAAATAAATGAATGGATGAAAACACTTCCCATACCTGTTCTTTATGTGGTAGTATATTGCGAGGGCTACACTGTAAAAACAAAAAGGCAAAAAAAGGACATGAATGCATGAAGAGAAAAATGACCCAAAGAACTTCTCACCCTGAACTGAAATTAAATACCAGACAATGAGTTATTTCAGTTGTAGCAAAAACAGCTGTGAAGTTACCATTTGATGGTATATTTGAGGTTGGGCTGACTGACAGTGCTGTCATCAAGAAATATGGTAGAACAAGAGCTGTACTTCCGTCTCCCTGGGCCTGGATAATGCTAGGGTGTACATAAAAATATATTAATAGAGGCGCATATGCACATGATCAAATTAAAAAGACATTGTTGGTTCATCATTAAAAACAACATATTTTGTGGCACTAGTAAACTAGACTACTAGGCTCCAGCCCTCCGCGACCCTGTTCAGGATAAGCGGTATAGATAACGGATGGATGGATTATTGCTACTAGATTTTACTACATCTAAATAATGAGGTTTAACTGAACACTGTTTCTCAAGGTATTAAATATACAGTATACAACTAAGCTATAAGTGGAATCTGTGGGGGCTGAAAAGGGTGGGACAATTATAAAAAGTTGATATTCTTTTTAAATGTCATTCTGAAGACTTCACCTCATTCTCTAAAATATATGCGAACTTCCAAAAAATAGAAAACACTAAAATGACAATGTGTACAGTCATAACTGTCACAACCATATTACACAACTAAATAACTGAGTCTTTGATCAGTTAAATAATAAATCACCTTCATTAACTTTAGAATCAGAATCAGAATTAACTTGATTGGCCAGGTGTGTCGGACACACGAGGAATTTGACTCTGGTACATCGGCTCTCAATGCGCATGTACATATCCCCATACAAGGGGCAAGTAAACAGTAAACCAGCATAAGGCTGTGTAATATAATAAAATAATCAGTACAAACAGGCAGTAAACAATGCAGACAGACAAAGGAATGCTCACTGAAATGAGATAAATAGGAATAAAAATAGAATACTTAAAAATAGAGAACTGTACAGACCTGTATAATCTGTACAATGTATATTGACAGGTATTGCACTGAGGAAAGGTATTGCACTTTAGCCATGTGTTAAGGAAATCCTAGACATACTCTTTCACATTGTGCTTTATCTTACTTACATGGTTGATGTAAAGGCTTTTCCGTTTTTCTCGAACTGAAAAGAGAAACAGAGGGATGGTTGTCAGTGCTGTCAGGGTGCAACACACGTCAATCTCATCATCAGTGCACTACATGACCTTCACAGACAGGGAGCAGCATTTATCCAGGAAGCTCACTGTCATGATAGATTTTGAAAAAACACTGGAAGAATTGCTTTTTTACTTGACCTTGTCTAACCTGCATTAAACAAAGCAAAGCAGTTTCAGTTTCATTCAATTTTTTTAATATTAAAAACTGAATATTTCCAAAGTCTCGAGGCTTTGAAGTGCTTTTTTCTTAATACACTGGAATTTGTATATAATGTGTGGGAATGAGTGTGAACTGAGTTATTAATCCATCCATCATTTTGGCCTTGGTCATTTAAGGTCATCTGTTTTCATTCCTTCCTGTTCACACATCACAAGGTTCGCCAGTAAAACACACTGGAACAGATACAGAGTACAGCATCACACACACACAGCGATGCAGTGAGCTGTCAGTCTCACCTCTGTGACACACATACACTCACATTCTAATGCACATCTCTTTTTCACTGAGCAGTCATAACTGTGTGTCCTGCTTTCTAGAAAAAAAGCAGCGGGCTCTTATGTCATAATCAGAGCTTCCTATTTTACAAAAATCTAAATTAAAATTCTGAATGCAGAGTTATCACAATAGGTTTGTGAAGTTAAAAAAGCTATGATTTATATAAACAGCAGAAAGAGCGCTGTAATGAACACTGCCAGGGCTCCTGTAAAAATGTAAGCCCCTGGTTAATGAAGGTTAAATAAATAAATTAAATTATGTACAATATACTGTGATACTCCTGTCAAATGAGTTTCATGCTCTTGGTTGCATCCCAACTTTTATTTTAGTTACACCTTCTCAAGAGAAAAGATTTCTTAGGTGCTGCTGCTGCGAAGAATGAGTCGACACATCATTTCATTAATCAAAACCCAAATTTTTCAGGGCTTTGCTGCCCTGCTCATGACAGTGTACTGTACCTCACAGACTGCCATGCATACAGTCACAAACACACAGCTCAGCAGTGAAGGCACACAACCTGCTAACAGAAAACGATGCAGATCAAATACAGAACAATAAAGCTGGAGACCACATGAAGAGCTGAGGCCGAGCACACAGTAAGCATAATACCACCTGCTGAGACCAGACACATTCATGCTTACCTCTCTTGTTGCGCACAGCAACTGAAAAACACAAAGTCCAAGTTGTCTCCATATTCGTTTATGACACAGATTCGCAATAGGCTTCACTGAAATAAAGTTTGGAGTGTAAAAGAAATTATGTGAGGTCTTATATTAGTACAGTATATGCCCTTTGTTTGAACAGGCTGGCAGACAAGCGCTTTATAAGGTTGATCAAAGAATTAAAGATCATGGAGTAGTGGAGTAGGACTGTGTAGCTTTCAGGCTACAGTGTCTTCACCTGAACCAGCTATTCTCCAGTGGGATAATATTAAGCCTCTTTCCAACCCAGTAAAGAGACTTCCTCTATAAGTAATCTGAAAAGTAACCAAGTCATGAGGAAATTTTAAAGACAGGTTTAGGGGAAAATGCATGGTATCAATAGAAGAGGGTAGCACTCACCATCAGTTTGTGACTTGCTGAGGAAAATGGTGCTGGCCCGGGGATGATCTGAGGGATTATACTCCATGGGCAAATCTAAAATAAATAATGAATGAAAACATTAGTCTCAAAGGTAGTACAGAGTCAATCTAAACTAATTTGTACACAGAACAGTGTACAGGACACAATTCAGGTACAAAACAAATTTCACTCTGCATACTGTTTAATAGCCAACTATTTAATCTTCCAAATTTATTTTCAAAAGCAGATGAACTGTAGTGCGGAAAGTTCTGAGACACAAACGACAGAAGATGAGCTCAAAATGATATGATATTCAACAACAATGTAATCATCAGACTAACAGCAGGGTTGGACAGTTGTCTTCTGACTGCTGTAGCTACACTGTCCACCGGCAGGTTCTCCATGGCACAATGTGTTTACATGAGCAACTCATTTGTTAATAGAATTTTTCAAGTAGTTTTGAATAAAATATAAGAATTTTAATAAATGAATAAA